GAACTCGTGAAAATTGTATGCATATATCTCGTATATGTACTACTACAACAGAGAGATGAATTGGACGTGTGGAAACCATTTAAGGCAGTCAGTCTCGAGTGTAGATGTCCCAGCAATGTCTCAGACCGCAGAAATTACAAAAGAAAAGAATAACTCAAAAGAGCTCCATCTTAGACTCTACAGACCTCGGTTATCACGTTGAGCAATAAAATCCATGACAGTACAATAGGATAAAAACATATGGCTTGTTTATAAGGGTTGCAAGAAAAAAATCTGCACGTATTCTCTCTAATATGTAGCAACATGACTTGTGTTTGCAAAGTTGCATAAGAACCAAGACTTCTATAACTCTTCTATATGGTTTCCTAGAAAGTCAAGGCTCTAAAAGGAGCCTGATTTCCTGTGAAAACTGTCTTTTGAAAGAATGTGTCACGTGAAAGGGTCTTTTAACCCACCTCATATCCTGCCTTAGTTCCTTGTTGCACAAACATTTACCAAATTAATTTTAGGATCTCTCATTCTTTGTAAATATATTTTAGTCTATTTATCTTGCAAAAGCAAATCTTTATTCATTGTTAATACATACCAAAATGGAGGAGCAAACTTAAGGATGTCATTGTTTCTACAGAAAGGTGGATGTGGATGTTTTCATGCAGGAGAATTGTGTTTGAATCCCCAGAATGATTTTGACTTTGAATTTTTCTAAGTAAACTATAACAAATGGTAAATGGACTGACTTAGTGCTTTTCTATGTTATCAAGATACTCAAAGTGCTTTACACTACAATCTGTGTCCTTGTTTACCCATTCATACAGCGCTCTACTAGAGCTGGACAAAGAAGAATCAGAGCTTTATCACATTCATACACCGATGGGACACACATCAGAGGCAATGAGGGGTTCAGTGTCTTGCCCAGGGACACTTTGGCATGTGACTGCTGGTGGACTCGAACCCCCAACTCTTGCATTGGAGGACGACTGCACTAACCACTCAGCCACAGCCGCCCCCAAACAAAAACCACCCAAAAAAAAACACGCCACGATTTATTTAAATATGATATAGATAATGTCAAAAGTTTGAAACAAGCCACCATTGCAACAGTTATCTCCAATGAGCTCCAGGTAGATGTAAAAATGTTATTTTAGAAACTTTAGAAAATGGTGGCGCTCCACCTGCTCCATTAAGCAATCACCTACAGTATGTCTTCATTACATAGTGTATTATGCTGAATCACATTGTAGCATAAGGCATTATTAGGAATGTCTTTAAAAGAAAACAGTCCAAAATGCACATAGAATTACAATGTTACCGTTTTATGACACCTTATCTTTTGTTGCATGCATTTGAATGTTAAAGCTTGGCCAGCAGATAGTGACATACTTAAATGTATCAAATGCTTAAGAACCATTTCAACACAACTGCTTCATATTGATTCAGCGGTTCAGAAAGTTTCAGTCTCTTTTTCACTAACAATCACCAAAAACTTAACACCAGACTTAACGCTGCTACATCACCAACACAGTCCAAACTACCAAATGACCCACTGTCAACATGAGCAGCCTTTCTCCAGGCTTTATGCTCCAATCTTGTTTAGCAGTGTGGAGAAGACTCTGGCACCTACAGGACAAATAAAGCGAGGAACCCCATTCAAAGTGAACAATCACTTCAACATGTTGACAAATGCAGTGCAAATGTATGTTTCACAAATGAGGCCACAGTAGCGCACAGAACCGTGCTTGATGACAACCAAACACAGCGAATTAGCACAAACACCTCATACCAAATGCTAAGCATGATGATGGAGAGGTGATGATTGGGGCTTGTTCTGCAGCCATAGGACTTTGGCACCTTGCAGCTGAGGCTATCTCTATGGCAGCTAAAGCTGGGATCAAATTGGGTGATCCCAAACACAGATAAAACAAATCAAACAAAACATCTGAAGATAAATGCAGGGGTTGTAATGATCCACCTAAAATCCTGACCTCAGCCTGATTAAACTATTGTGAAGAGAATTGTATTTGCAGGTATTTGTACAGAAACAAATACCTGCAAACCTGTGAACTGCAGCAAAGTTGTAGAAAAGAGTGGGCCAAAATTCCTCCACAATCATGTGAAAGTCATTCAGAAAATGATTACTGAGCGTTATCGCTGCAAAGGTTTTACAAGCTTATAGGATGTACTTGGTTTTTCATTACTTATTAAATAAAAACATGGGTGTTAATTTGAATAATTTATAACTTGGTAAAGAACTGATCGTTTTGATCATGCTCTGATACTTAAAAATATAGACCTGAAAAAGGGCAGACTTTCTTTTTCCCAGGACTGTATGTTTTATCGATGAAGCTTGTGCTTACCCAGGAAGATATGAATTACACGTCTGATAGCCAAAGTCTTTTCCATCACACTCCTCGGCCCCTTCGTAACGATATCCATCCCCGCAGTAGGCATGTTTACACTCTATGGTAGGGCGAGACACCGAGTGTGGAGGTTATACGTGCAGAGCAGAGTACGACTAAAGGAACTGTTCAGGACCGTCTGTTTAATGGGGACTTACTGACACAGCCGTCAGTGACGACTCTGTTTCGGTCATCACACTCCTCCCCGTTGGAGATCTGCACTATCCCGTCACCACAGTAACCGTCATCGTCAGGGGCATTTTCCATGGACTGGAAGGGCGTCGTCTGGAATGGAAAAACCTTTGGCAGAATTTCGATATCTTGAGCAAAATGAGAAAATTGCATTTTGATCAGAAGAAGGTTAAGCTGCATGTACAGTCACCTGGATTGGCAGCCAGCCATCTACGTCTTTGAAATAAAGAGATCTCTGGTCTTTTCGAAATGCAAGAGCGTTGTCGGTGTGAAGACGCTCGAGTTCTTCCTCGTTGCTCACTACAAATATCTAAATGAAAGACAACATGACTAAATTTACTCTAAAGTTTTCAATATTTTTGTGTCACAGTAATTTTGTGTAAAAGTGAAGTACAGTATTCAAATAACGCACACAAACTAGGAGTGCACTGATTGCAGTTTTCTGGCCGATCACCGATCTCTAAAAAGTCTGACCTGCTGATTCCGATTTTGGCCGATACCAATTTTGTTTTATAATCGACACTGTCAGGTGTTATAAGGTCACGATGCACCTTCAATTTTCCAATATTACTTTAGTGAAAAACATACCCTTTAACAATATCCTAGAAACAATACAAACTTGTTTTAACTGGCCATTAGTGCTCTGAAATATAAATGAAGTTCAGACAATTGTTAAAACAACAACAAAAAAAATCTGTTTCTCATGCAAGTATCGGACGATTTCCAATTTCCCAAAATTCAGGATTTATCGGTGCACCCCTAACACAAACACCTGAAAGGTAAGAATTTTTAAAGTGGCAAAGTTTCAGACAATTTATATTTTACATAATGCATGTACTGAATCTCTTTAAATTACTTTAGTTAAAACAATAAAAGCCTAATTCTGATGTTCTTGTACACCTGACTGCAACAAGACTCTTCATTTCTCACCGCAGGTACTTTGGGGACGTTTGCTGTGGAGGCAAAGTTGTCAAACGAAGAACCACTGAGAGAGCTGCAGCTACACTTTCCAGGAGGCCCTGGTGGTCCTCTTGCACCTTTTGCTCCAACCATGTACAGCCCTATAATTGAGAACACACACAAAAAAAAAAAAAAATTAGCAGGCAAAAACCCCTGTCTTCATGGTTTGTGCACACAAATAAATTAAAGCAAAACAAATATATCTGAAATTGTCATTTTAACTGCAGGCTACACCAGAAGTCACACCTGAATTATATTTGATCCATCTATCAAGAGGAAAACACAATCAGCTTCATTCACACCGTATAAATGCCACTTTGATTATGTGGTGACATGATATTTGTACAACTAGGGAGGACTGCCATGTGTGAACTCACTTAAGTCACATGATGTCATCATAAGAGCATCATGTTTCAACTCGGACTCAGATTAAATTTCTTAGGTGCTAAATACGACTGCTGTGACTGCATACATTGATCTATCTTTCGCTGACTTAGCCTCTCCTCTTACAAAAAAAACAAACAAATTTTGACTAAATTTCAAGAAACAGCAGGGCTAAATTCCTCCAAAATGGAATTTCTATAAATTCTCATCTTGACTGTAAAATCCACCAGTTTTAAATTAAAACCATCAAAATGAAATTCACCTGTGGCGGGTAACCCTGGGGGTCCAGGGTGGCCAGTAGGTCCCTGTGGGCCTGCGGGTCCCATGGGACCAATTCTCCCTAGGTCTCCTTTCACTCCCTGAAATAATAAAGGTGTTCAAAATCAAAAGTAAATCCTCATTTTAAAAGAAAATTAAAGCTCAAGTGTAATTGTAAATGGCACAATAATGAGCAAATAACTAAGGGATGCAAGTCAGAATTTATTTGAGATGAGCTTTCTGTCAATAAATGTGTTTGATTCAGTCTATGTCAACTCAATGGATAAGAGTTCTGGCATCTGTCATAAATGCAAAAAAACAACAACTAGTGTCTTCACTTTCGAAAGTCAGATTAAAACCAAAAATGCAACACAAAAATACATGTGCCATGAATAGTATTTCAGCCGTACATTTTGTTCTGTGCATTTTCATCGAATGCGTTTGACGTTTGTGTGAAGTTAATGAATTTCCACAAAAAAACAAAATTATGCTTCCAAAAAGTTTTTTGAGGCATCGAAAGCACAAATATAACAAACTTGTCACCTGCTTCCCCCTCTTCCCTGGTCGGCCTGTAGGTCCTCTGTTCCCTGGGGTTCCAGGCTCTCCTTTAGGACCCATTTCACCCTGCACAACAAACCTCATATCAGTAAACAAAAACATGTTTGAATAAGTTGCAGTTCTGGAAGAACAAAATTAAAAGAAATAAAAAAAACGCTGCAGCTACTGACTTTTTGTCCAAGCATTCCTGGAAACCCCATTGCACCCTTTGGACAGAGAACATCAGGTTATACTAACTCAAACAGTGCACTAAATGTAAAATACTGCTGATACAGTCCACATACTTTGTCTCCTTTAAGTCCAGTTTCACCACGGTCACCTTGAGAACCCTGATGGAGCAGAACACAGTGAGTTACAGTATTTAATCTCCTAATAAAGAACATTTTCTAAAACAATAACTTACCTTTTCTCCTTTGTGCCCAGGTAAACCCTAGAATTAAAGCCAGTTAAAACAACGAGACACACTGAAATCAATATAAAGTCAATCTGACACAGTTTCTGATGTGGATCATACCCTAGGCCCAATTGATCCTCTGGCCCCAGGTAGACCCATCAAACCCGGGTCACCTTTCTCACCCTGACAGAGAAGAAAACATTAGACGTAGGTGGATTGCCTCTTTATGGATAATCTTTTTAAAATAATCTGCTTCTTACTACTCATGTAATTTCATAAATGGTGCAGTCTACATGATAAAGTCTGACTTACTCACTTTGGCCCCATTTGGTCCTGGCCATCCTGGCATTCCTTGCTTTCCTGGAGGTCCAGGAGGTCCAGAGCGACCCTAAAATTACACATTATCATTTTTAAGGTTTAAGTAATTACATTTCTAATGCCAGTTTGCTTTATAGTTTTTTTTTTTTTTTAAATAAGAGAAATCTAAATGCAGTATTAGCCGACAGCCGTCTCTCTCCAGCATCTTTCAGCTGCTGCTGCTCATGCGGGGGGTGGGGTGGGGGGGGCATGGCTGTAATGAGCCCTGTCACTTTGCTCTCGTTAATTAAATGATGAGCTGTATATAGAACAGGAGTTCGGCTCGTTGGGAATAAAATGATTAATGATCTTGCCGAAGCACTAAGCTAAATTGCACTGCAGTGCTTGCAAACCAGCTCAGCGAGGAGCTGCTTTTACTGGTCCGCTACAGCAACAGTCACGTCTCCTCTACCTCATCAAAAACCTTCCTGGTCCTTCGGTACAGCCGTGCAGCTTTTTGTACCGTTCAAGCAGAGAGGGACGGCAGCCTGACTGGGAAGACTGCTGCTCCATCAGATTTAAAGTAGTTGTGCAAAATGGAAATGAAAATAGAATGCAATGATTTTCAGATTTCATACACCCATATTTTATTTACAACGGAGCACAGGAAACAAAAAAGTTTACACTAAGAAATTGTACACGTTTTAGGGAAAAAAATAAGGTGAAATTTGATGGCAGCAACACATCACAACAAAGTTGGGACAGAGCCATGAAACCATTGTGAAGCACCCCCTCCCATTTTAATAACAGTCTGTAACATCTAGGAACTGAGGAGCGCAGCAGCTGGTTGTGGAGGAGACTGTTGATGTAGGATTCTAGCTGTTCAGCAGTCCTGTGTCATCTTTCTACTTAGGTTTTTTTTGTTTTTTTGTGTTTGGTTGTTTGTTTTTTTGACTGATTGAAAGCACATGTTCTAAAACCTGTATGTATTCAACGTTTATTTCTACAGGTTAGTCTCATTGAGCCTCGGAACTCATTTACAAGAGAGACCTGTTTTTAACAAATAATGATGACAACAGTAGACAATCATAAAAGAAAGCATATGACTTGAAAAATGGAAGAAAATTATATACTTTTCTGCTTTGATGGTGCCTTTCCAGATGTGTAAGCTGCCCATATCAGAGACACTCATGTACCCCCATACCATCAGAGATGCAGGAATTTGAACTGTGCACTGGTAACAGGCTGTATAGTCCCTCTCCTCTTTAATACAGAGGACATGGTGGCTGTGGTTACCAAAAATAATATTGAATTTTGATGTTTGAATGCAGAAAAGTTTTCCACTTTGCCTCAGTCTGTTTGGAGCTCTTAGGGGCGGCTGTGGCTGAGTGGTTAGAGCAGTCGTCCTCAAATGCAAAAGTTAGTGGTTCGATTCCACATGCTGAAGTGTCCCTGGGCAAAACACCGAACCCCTCATTGCCTCCAATGTGTGTCCCATTCGTGTATGAATGTGATAAAGCACGGATTATTTTCTTTAGAATGATTTGTTCAATTAGCGTTGTAGAGATCTAGTAGAGTGCTGTATGAATGGATAAAAGAGGGCACAGATTGTAGTGTAAAGCACTTTGAGTATCTTGACAAGATAGAAAAGTGCTATATAAGTACAGAAGTCCCTCGTTTGTCAGGGGGGATCTGTACCCTGAAGCCCCACGAATTGATAAGTGAAAAACCACGGAGTAGGAATATATATATATATATATATATATATATATACATACAGGTCCTTCTCAAAAAATTAGCATATTGTGATAAAGGTCATTATTTTCCATAATGTAATGATAAAAATGAAACTTTCATATATTTCAGATTCATTGCACACCAACTGAAATATTTCAGGTCTTTAATTGTTTTAATACTGATGATTATGGCCTACAGCTCATGAAAACCCAAAATGCCTGTCCCAAAAAATTAGCATATCATGAAAAGGTTCTCTAAACAAGCTATTAACCTAACCATCTGAATCAACGACGTAACTCTAAACACCTGCAAAAGATTCCTGAGGCTTTTAAAAATCCCAGCCTTGTTCATTACTCAAAACCGCAATCATGGGTAAGACTGCCGACCTGACTGCTGTCCAGAAGGCCATCATTGACACCCTCAAGCAAGAGGGTAAGACACAGAAAGAAATTGCTGAACGAATAGGCTGTTCCCAGAGTGCTGTATCAAGGCACCTCAGTGGGAAGTCTGTGGGAAGGGAAAAGTGTGGCAGAAAACGCTGCACAACGAGAAGAGGTGACCAGACCCTGAGGAGGATTGTGGAGAAGGGCCGATTCCAGACCTTGGGGGACCTGCGGAAGCAGTGGACTGAGTCTGGAGTAGAAACATCCAGAGCCACCGTGCACAGGCGTGTGCAGGAAATGGGCTACAGGTGCCGCATTCCCCAGGTCAAGCCACTCTTGATCAAGAGACTGCGTCAGAAGCATCTCGCCTGGGACTGCTGCTGAGTGGTCCAAAGTTATGTTCTCTGATTACAGTAAATTTTGCATTTCCTTTGGAAATCAAGGTCCCAGAGTCTGGAGGAAGAGAGGAGACACAGAATTCACATTGCTTGAGGTCCAGTGTCAAGTTTCCACAGTCACTGGGGTTTCATGTCAGCTGCTGGTGTTGGTCCACTGTGTTTTATCAAGCACAGGGTCAATGCAGCTAGCTATCAGGAGATTTTGGAGTAATTCATGCTTCCATCTGCTGAAAAGCTTTATGGAGATGGAGATTTCATTTTTCAGCACGACCTGGCACCTGCTCACAGTGCCAAAACCACTGGTAAATGGTTTACTGACCATGGTATTACTGTGCTCAATTGGCCTGCCAACTCTCCTGACCTGAACCCCATAGAGAACCTGTGGGATATTGTGAAGAGAAAGTTGAGAGACGCAAGACCCAACACTCTAGATGAGCTTAAGGCCGCTATCGAAACATCCTGGGCCTCCATAACACCTCAGCAGTGCCACAGGCTGATTGCCTCCATGCCACGCCGCATTGAAGCAGTCATTCATGCAAAAGGATTCCCGACCAAGTATTGAGTGCATAACTGAACATGATTATTTGAAGGTTGGCGTTTTTTGTATTAAAAACATTTGTCTTTCATTGGTGGGATGAAATATGCTAATTTTTTGGGACAGGCATTTTGGGTTTTCATGAGCTGTATGCCATAATCATCAGTATTAAAACAATTAAAGACCTGAAATATTTCAGTTGGTGTGCAATGAATCTGAAATATATGAAAGTTTCATTTTTATCATTACATTATGGAAAATAATTACCTTTATCACAATATGCTAATTTTTTGAGAAGGACCTGTATATATATATATGTATATATATATATATATATATATATATATATATATATATACACAGTATATAAAGGGGTTTTAAACACTTCCCACAGTCTTGCAATATTCTAAACAATGTTTCTAAACGCTCTAAAAGAGCACAGAATGTCATGATTTCAGCTCTTTGCCTCCGTTGCTCTCAGCCACATGGAAGCGTTCTTGGCCACGCCCACTTCTCCGCTCTGCACAGTGAACAGCTGATCAGCTGCAGCAGGAAGCTTTTTCTTCAGCTGAGGGCTGCATAAAGGTGCAACAGCTGCTAAATATTTTAAAATATATTTTTTTAAATAAAAATTCCATGCCAGTCGTGCGGCTCATCCATCAATCAGCCAATTGTGTGTCATGTCCACTCTTATTTTGAAAAACCGCGATAGAGCGAGTCCACAAGAAACGAACCGCGAAGTAGCGAGGGACTGTTGTGGTGTTCACACGTGGCTTCTTATTTGCATGATAGAGCTTTAATCTGCCATTCCAAATGGCAAAGTGAACTGTGCTCACAGACGATGAATTGTGAGGAAGTGTTCCTGAGCCCATGCAATGATGTTCAGCACAGAATCATAAGGGATCCAGTTTCAGCCTCGTCCTTTGCGCTCTTCTTCTTCTTCTTCTTCTTCTTCAATTTTTTGATGATATAATGAACTGTAGAAGATTTTCTAATTTTCTGTTGAGGAACATTATTTTGAAATTATTTCACTATTTTATGTACAGTTGTTGCAGACTGGTGAACATCTGCCCATCTTTACTTACTTTACTCAGCCCCTCAATTTTTTTTGTACTCAGCTTTTTATTTATTTGTTCTGTTTACAGGCTTTAGTTGCCCCCAGTCCTGGATTTGTAGGATGTGTTGCTGCCATCAAGTTAAAAATTACCACTTTTTTTTTCTAAAAAAAATGCTACAATTTGATATATAGTACTTGCTATATTCCATTGTAAAAAAAAAAAATACAAAATTATATTAGCAAATCGTTCTTCAGTTTTTATTTACATTTTTGCACAACCTATCAACTTTTTCAGAATTGGAGTTGAAGATGAGGACAAAGGAGACCAACAGTGAGTCCCTTTGCCATAAAAACAGGCCTGCGTTCTGCCCTTGGTGTCTGTTCTGTCTCCCAGTCAAGGTTGCGCACAGTTTCTTGATGCGCGCACCCTGGCAGGCCTCTAAATTTCAGCCAGCAGGCAGGTGGATACTTTGTATGTAATTTTGGAGAAAATCCACTTACGGCAGCGGAGAATATGGAGTGATTAATGGAGACTCTCACCTTTTGCCCAGGTCTTCCGATTTCTCCCTGACAACAAGAAGGTACAGAGGAGGAACAAAGACAACAGTCACTTAATGTACTTCCCAAAAGCATTTTTCAGTCACGTGCATCAGGTCAAACTAATCCATTTATGATACAAAAAATGAGCAGATAAGAAAATTCAATTCCGCTGGATGACATAAACCACTTACTTTTTCTCCTTTAGGCCCTTTTATTCCAGGTAATCCAGGTGGACCCTTGAAAACATAAAAAGATGATGTTAGTAAAACAGACAGATAGCTATCTAAATTATTTTTATTGTCCACAACATCCCACCACAGAGTCCTCCCTGCTTCTGGGAGTGCAGAGCTGCAGTTTCAATTAGCTAAAGGCTGACTGGTCCCTATTGATTTAAAAAGTGCCCTGTGGGTCTTTTGGATGTACTGAAGTGCTGCTGCGGTCCAACTAGTTGTGTAACAGTCTGGAATGAGCTGCTCCAGCAAACGCTTCGACAACCGTTTGGTAAATCTGCTTTTTACTCATGAGACTGTGAGGTAGCAGAACCACACCGTCTTTTTTTAAATCTTTCATAGCTTGAAAACACAAACACATGGACAGTGTGTGTTGGTAATCCCTGGAATTTACGCGACACAGTTCGCCTTTCCAGGCAGATAGCTCTTTGGACAAGTTCTGAGAAGGACGTGTGGCACACTGGCAGGCAGTGGAAAATGGCTATTTGTGTCGCAGCTAAATGTAGAGCGTTAATGGGCTGTTGTGCTGAAAGGGCCGGAGAAATCCCCATCTTCTCCGCTGCAGGAACTATCAAGTTGGAGACGAGATGGGGGTTAAAGCGAAACTTTGATTCTTTCAAGTGCGGCTCGGCAGAACAATGAATATCTTACCTGTTGTAGATAACTTTTAGAACAACGTCAGTTTGGAGAAATAGTTTAATTCTGATTGATAAGGTAACTACTTGACCAAATGGGGCATTATGAATTGCTGCTGACTTATTATTATTATTATTATTATTATTATTATTATTTTAGTTATTATCATAAATAGGGACAGTAACAGCCAGGTGTAGCACTTCAAATTCAATCTTGGGCACTCCAGCAGGAACGTCATAATATATCTGCCAGAATAATTGTGTAAATGTTAAACAGCATAAAGGTTTATAAATTAGTGTTTGCATGAATGGATAGAAAATCTTTGTTGCATTGAGATTGACATTAGCTTGTCAATCAAATTAAACTCTCTTTTGTCAAAATGAGTTTTTGAACTATCCACAAGTAAAATATTAATTTTACATAACCATTTCACAAAACTCACTTTGAAAGATATAAATGATCCCTTTCATCCATAGCAGGGGTAATAATGTTTAACACCTCAGACTTGAACATGAAACAGCTTATGATGAGTCATGCTAATCGTTTTTCCCTTATTTGTGGCAAACTGAAGGAGATTTGACAAAATAACAAAACTGTTCCAGATTTAGTGTATGGTTTTAGTTCTGGGATGCATGTGATGTTTGAACTGAGCCTTACTTGAGGTCCAGGCGGTCCAGCAGGTCCAGGAGGGCCTCGAGTACAGCCAGGATCCAAATCAGACTCGCCATTTTTATGTGATGGGCCTTCAGTCTTTAAAACAAATACAAACATATTATTATTTTCCTCTTAGGTTTGTCAAGCTCTTCTTAAAGAGATAGTCTGGTCATTTTTGAAGTGATGTTCTGTAAAGTGGTTATCAGCCTTATCAGCCGTGAGAACACAGAGTATGGAGAAAAGGGTAGAAGCCTTTGTCCAGGGCATCCTAATGGCTAGAAACACGAGGGCCCATTTCTATCCTTGTTCAGGCCTATAAAACTACCATTGCTCAGAAAAAACACACCGATGTGAAAGAACGCTACAATAGCTAGTAATCTTCTACACTTTTGCACAGAACGGTTTGTTTAGTTTGTCACTGATTGCAACCCATGTTACTATGTGAATGTATGTTTGCTGATACACTCAGCAGCCTCAGCACCATGCATCCATCCATCCATCCATCCATCCATCCATCCATCCATCCATCCATCCATCCATCCATCCATCCATCCATCCATCCATCCATCCATCATCTTTTATCTGCTGGACAGGTCTCCAGTCCATCACAGGGACACTTATAGAGACAAACAACCATTCACTCTCTCACTCACACCTAGGGGCAATTTAGAGTTACCAATCAGCCTAACATGCATGTTTTTGATCTGTGGGAGGAAACCGCCATTGGCATTTAAAAGTTTATGCTCGTCACACAAACGCTCCCATCTCAACGGGTGATAGTTTAAGAAAAGCACAACAAACTTAAACGATGTCGGCCGTAGAGGCGTTTATTCACACAGCATGTCGTTTTCGAGAAAGATGTTTTCTAAGCCTGAGAAACGATTTACAAAAGGACTCGTTTGGCTAGGTTTAGCCTTCCCTGGACAAACACTTCTGCCCTTTCCTTCAAACTCTTCGCTTCATGACTTCTGTCACAGCTCATGAAGTCCTGTTGATAACCATTTGACAGAACATCACTAAAAAAATAACTAAAACTCATAAGCTATTCCTTTAATGAAAAGACAGAGGAATACAAACACCAGTTTGCCGTTTAAAACATTTACATTTTAAATTGATCCCAGTGTGGACTTTAGTGATTAAGACTCGTAACAAAGGCTTGTTAAACCATTTCTCCCAGCAAGAACTGCATGTTCCACCATCAGACTGTTAACAGACAACCTCACTCAGGGGTCAAAAGAGACTAAGCCAGAGGCCATATGGATATAACTCAAGGACATATCAACAGCTTGATATTCCACAATAAAAAGTCACATGACTCACTAGTGTGTGGCGGCGCCAAAGTGAAGGGGGTGGAGGAAACAGTGGTGGTGGAGGTGGACCCAGCAGACAGCATGGGCTGAATCTCTTCTGTTGCTCTTGAGGTCTGAAAGCTGTGGACAGTGCAGTCAAAGATCAGACCTGCACCAAGAAGCTGAACTCATTTTCTTTAATGGTTGCTTTCACTCATGCAACTGCATTCTGACTTGGTTTGAATAGGAAAACAAGAAATGCTGATGACGTGATGACAGAACATGCATTTGAGAAAGGAAAAGCAAAACTTATCCCACACATTTTGTACAAACCTGAGAAATCAAAGAAGATGCACGAGCAGCATGAGCAACAGGGAAACAGGTGCAAAATATCAAATCATGACACCCACGCGGGAGAGTTCCCAGAGCTGGACACAGACGAGAAAGTGCCCCTCACTATTTATAGAGACATTTCCAGTCTACCTCATGGGAAGTAAGAAAATCAAAACAACTCTGCTGTACAGAGATGAGCTCATTGTGAAGCTTAGATCAAGACGTATAGAGACCCTGAGCACCTGTGCAGGGAGTGCAGTGGTGCAGTAAGACACTCAAACACATGCTTGCAGGGTAGACATGATCTTACCTGCTGAGAATAAAAGGAAGCTGTCCGGAAATGTGGACTGAGCCAGGCAATAGGAAAACCACAGTGGCAGATAGAGTCCAAGTGTTAAAAGAGTCATGCTGGCTCAGATAGTTTCCAGACTTTATGTCTGAGCCTCAGCAGCCTTGACACTCTGCTTTCTTCCTCTCCTTCTCTCCCAGCCGTCCCCTCCCTCTCCGCTCGCTCTGTCGGTTTCCCTTACGCCTTCACATGAGGGGACGCTGACCAATGCCCATTAAATCTTTCCTCCGCATCAGTGTGCTCTAAAATTACAGGAGACAGCCTGCCAGCTGCCTCTGGTGCCAATATTAGATCTACTACTGTAGGGGGTCTTATTGTTGTTTCAACTCCTGGGGGGGCGGACTTAATGGAAACAAACCTATAGTCCACTTCACTTCAAATAGGATCACATCTGAAAATGATTAAAGTGCTTTTTGCATTTTGCAGCAATTATTCTGTTTTATTAGTTTTTTTGTGCAAGACATTATTTATTTCACTGTGACATCAGTTTGGTTCAGGCTTTATTCCCCAACGTGTCCCACAAAATTGTCTATTTAGTCTTTTAAATGTGACAGTAGTTTAATATACAATCTAGTAATAATAGACTACATCAGTTTGCTGCAGTTAATGGCATCACAGAGTGTTTATTTTGCTTAAGGAATGTACAGAGTATTAAAATATTATGTTGCATCACCTTTAATTTCACCCAAAGAAGCAAATGAACAAGTTTCATCACTCAGCTGTGCCACACTCCTGCGTACGATGTAAATTAAACTGTCAAAATCGCATGAGTTTTTGTACATATTAGTGCAAAATCCATCTTTGCAAAAGAAGATACTGAAGTATTCTGATTTGCGTTTTGAAATCAGCATTATTCAAAATGGCTGCCACAGCCAGCTGACCCCAAAAAGCACAAGATTTGTTGAACTCCGTCATTTTTACAGATATTGACCTCAAATTTGTGGCAGTAGTTTAGACTGATGCCCAGCACATTTTCTGAGAGCTAACAAACTGTGCAACATCTTTCTTTAAAATTGTGTCATTAACTATTTGGAGTCAACTCTGACAGTCTGTTAGCATAATATCCCATGAGCCACTGGACAAATTTTTATGAATATTTCAGGGGAAAAAGCATCATCACTGATTAAGTGTTGGAACCAATTTAATTCAAGATCGTTACCACAACCATCAGACTTTAGAACCCCCCAAAATGACTATAATTGAGTCAGTTTTACAGATATTGTACTAATATTTGGTGTGGTTGTATCAGAAAGGTATTCACAACACTTACTCTAGGAGTTGCTTATTGCACAACATTTTAGCACAAAACTTTATCGTTAAATGTTGGAATCAAACGTTTGTTTGGTAGCAAAACATCTCATGAACCACTGGACAAATTTTCAAAAATAAATCACCAGATGTACATTGGCATCTAATTTTATGAGTCTAATTCACAATGGCCACCACAGCTAATTGACATTAACCAACCTACAATTAACTATTCATTTTTTCATTTAGCCTTTATTTATGCAGGTAGTCTCATTGAGACTAGAGAACTCATTTTCAAGAGAGACCTGTTTAGGGAGACGATGGTGGGGGTTAAGGGCCTTGCTCAGGGGCCCAGAGTGATGTGAATGAGGGTGAGGGAGGTGTGGGTGTTTCACCTTTTCCACCCACATTTTGATGTTGACAGTACCGGGAGGTGAACCTGCGACTTTCTGATCACAAGCCCATCTTCTAACCTCTGCACCACCACTCCTCCTTATAACTACAACTCACCTTAACAAATAATGAACTAAAATTGAACATTTGATGTAGTAGCTAAGAGTCATTCACTTCACTTACAATTGCACACTAAAAATGCTGCAGCTCAGCTCTTAACAGGAACTTGTAGGTTTGATCCTATCTCACCAGTTTTATCCTCCCTTCACTGGCTCACTGTGTGTGTCAGAACTGGTTTTAAAATTCTCCTGTTGACCTTTACGTGCATTAATGGCCTTGTACTCTTGCTCCAGCATCAACGTGTCGCATGGAGGCTGCACAGCTGCAGAAAGAAAAGCTTTGCAGAGAGTGGTGAAGGCTGCACAGAAGACCACTAGAGTCGTCTCCCCACATTCACAGACATCTACACCTCCAGATGCAGGAAGAGGGTCACCTGCATCATGAAGGACCCCGCTCACCCAGAACACACACTTTTTGCCATGCTCCCCTTTGGTAGGAGGTTAAGGAGCATTAAGTGCAGAACCACTAGACTGAGGAACAGCTTCTACCCTGAGGCTGTTAGACTCATGAATCTCTAACCAGAATAGTCACTGTGAAAAATCACATCATGTTGCTGCTGATCTGTTTCATGTTGCTGCTGATCCGTTTCATGTTGCTGCTGATCTGTTTCATGTTGCTGTGTTCATTCATCCACATCTACTCACACAGACTCATGTTCGTGTTGCTGTTTGGTGTATTGTTTTTATTGTCTATTTGTGCTTACAGCATATTTTTTAGTTGATGTTTTTCTTAGTTCATATCTTAGATCTTATTACTGTTTTTCAATTACATGTTATTGTTGGATGTAACGGGGACCCTGTGTACACAGTCTCGTTCCACCTCATGTACCACATGTGGTGTGAATGACAAAGAAACTCTGACATCTCTGAGCTTCTTCAAACATATGTTCCTTCTCGGGTGCTAAAACCATCTGAGCAGCTGCTTTTGGTTGTACCATAAACCAGGCTGAAGCTCAGAGATCTGGCTTTTTCAGTCGTGGTCCCTGAACTCTGGAACAATCTGCCCCCCATTAGACAGGCCACTTCACTTCCTGTTTTTAAATCTCTATTAAAAACACACCTGTTTTCTCTGGCTTTTAAAACACGGTGATTTCATTTAGAACTTTATTGTTCTGTGTTTTTATGTTTTTCTTTTGATACTTTCAATTGATTTTGTTCATTATTTTTTATTAAATTACTCCCATTGATTTTTATTAAGCACTTTGGTAACAAATGCTGTTTTAAATGTGCTTTATAAATAAAGTTGACTTGACACACAGGGCGACATTTCGTTATATCGCAAATTATTCTTAAATTTATGATGACATACAGTGAAAAATTTCAAGAAGTTGTGATTTTCTAAAATCCACTGCAGAAAAAAAACAAAAAACTTGACAATACAGGCATTTTTTTTAAATAACTATAAATTATTAATAGGTCTTCCCCTTGCCATTTTTTAATATTCAATATTTATTTATTTACTGACAATAAATAAAAAAAGTTTGTCTCATCTTAAATATAGTGGTTTACTTACTGAAATAAGAAAAAAGTAGATTAGTTTTAAGTTTTCTCATTTTGGCATCATTAAGTATTTAATTTAGATAATATGAATAAGCAGAGCATGCTACAATGGTTTTGTATTACTCTGAGAAGCAACAATACAAAAAAAAAAACCACACTGACAAAATGAATAAAGGCTATAGTTTTTATTTTTACTTGGATAACCATCTGAACACACAATTACAAAATATTGAGTTAGTAAAAATACTGATTCTGTATATACAAAAAGTATTTTGTACATTTACAAAGGTTTTAATGTTATATATTTGAAACACTACAGTGTAGTAATACATAATCATAAAAAAATTGTTATTTCATGGAAACAATTTAAAAGAAAAAAAGCATATTTATATTTTTCATTTCCAGAAGAAAACCCATCATTGTTGCCTTGACGATGTTCTGGATGAGGATTAGTCTAGAGGTTTGAGCGAGTGAGCCAAGGAAACTCCTGCAAAAACAAGCACATAGAAAAGAAAAAAGTTGGTCTTTTGTAACAGCAGCTTCTCCTTCGCTCAGACTTGCATTTAAGAAGAAAAAAGATTAAAATCAGATCAGATGAAAGGCAGCACATTTCAGATGAGGAGTCTTTCTACAGAGTCATGGACAACCTTCAACTCTGTCTGCAAATGGTTGCGTGGATACATTCAACATAAACAAAAAGGGCTACGCTTTCTAATTATGGCAGCCCTAAAATAGAAGGGTTAGGTTGGTGTGAGATGGAGGGATTGTTAGTGAAGCATCTGGAGCGAACGGAACAATGTTCAGGATGACATTTCAGTCACAAAGCACTAGGAGGATGAGAGCCTGGACGTCAGAAGCTCTGCGTAAATCCTCAATTTAAGTCTTGTTGATTTTAATCACAACTGGCTTTACTTCTTTAGGGTTCTGACTAGCTAACTAACTCCCGAGATCCAAACGTGTTGGAACACCTGTGGGAAGTTCAGGATTAAATCCAATCCACAGCACTCCCTTTTGTTAAAACCACATGAACCGAAATATTTGTCGCCGCACAATATATCAGTCGGATCAGCTTTTCTCACATCGAGTCAAAAACTCTGAACAGCAGGTTGGACAAATTTGGCACGATGTGAAGCAAGAAGACAGTTACTAGCACAAGTGGAGAGGTTTTAACTTCTTAATCTCAACTTTTAAAAAACAGCACAAAATTTGATTTCAGGAATATTAGGCTCCTTACATCCAACATCTGCCCTTTCTTCACAAATCAGAGAGCAGACAGTTTTAGATTCAGACACAAATGTTAGTCTGGCAGCAGCACGGTGGTGCAGTGTGTAGAGCTGCCGACTCTCAGCGATAAGGTCTCCAGATTGAATCCTGAGCTGAGATCTTTCTGGGTGGAGTTTGCATGTTCTCTCCGTGCATGCGTGGGTTTTCTCCAGGTACTCCGGTTTCCTCCCACAGATCAAAAACATGCATGTTAGGCTGATTAGTATCTCTAAATTGTCCCTAGGTGTGAGTGAATGGTTGTTTGTCTCTATGTGTCCCTGATGGACTGGAGGGTGTTCATGGTGTCCCCCGCCTCTCGCACAGTGATAGATGGATATGGGCACCAGTGATCCCCATAACCCGAAAAGGAAAAAGAGGGTAAAGATAATAGATGGATGACAGAAATTAATTTAAATGTCTGCCCACAGAAAGTTGTAGTTTCAAACTTTGGCCACAGAGTGTGTGTTTTTCTCTCCTATAGTTTAGGTTACTTGTGTTTGAATGAAAATGAGTGCACGTTGTTACAATTAACCAATGCAGTAGCCGTTTTAATTTGTTGTACAAATAGGCTGTAAAATATGCTACTGTAAAATACAAAGTACATTCTATGAAGCTTTGATTATTTTGTACATTTTTGACTTATAGAAATTATTTTAAAATGTTAATTGTTGGCCTTGTACTAGAGATGGTCGACAAACTGAATTTCATTAACATTCTTTACTTTCTCAGTCATCTGTGGGGTAAAGATTAAAGCTTCCTGTTAAATGTATTAACTGAAGAAGCCTTTAAGGTGAGCTTCATACCTCCACGATGACAACTTCACTGGATTCTTTATTTTCGATCAGGTCAGCCCCGACACGTAAATGCTAAAGTAAAGTTGTGCGTACCTGTTGTTTCCTGTCAGACGAAGGGTCAATGAGCACGTTGAGGAGACTGGGTCTTTCCCAGTCGCTCAGGCTGAGCTGCAAGGCGCTGCGCAGCTCCGTCACCGTCCTCACTAGAAAACCTTGACCTCCGAACGCTGCCATGACAGCATCGTAGCGAGCCTCAGGCAGGAGGGACACGGGAGGGGCTCTGAAAAGCAACATCTCATTGCATTACATGGAAACCACCATCAGGGTGAATGCACATTTACTTGCTCACGAAAATAAAACTCACATAGAAGTCAGATCTCCCATTTTTGACAGTTCTTTCCATGTGTCAGAATCTACTCCGCTGTATATACCATTATTATTGATGACGATAATGACCACAGGTAGATTATACCTAATAAAAAAGTAAGGTTGCTGTAAAGTCAAGAGCACTACAAATGTTGATTTCTTTTTCCCCAACTAAGGAAAACCAACCTGCACATGGTCTCAACCTCCATACCAGAAAATCCAAAAGCACTGTCTCCTTCCACGCAGACTACCCTTCTGCTTTTGTTCCTGCTCCTCTCCACAGCAGCTGCCGCTACAGCAAATCCAAGGCCGACTCCCATTGTTCCAAAAGTGCCTGCGTCCAACCTGCACGTCACATCTTAGTTAATACAGTATCTGAAAATAAGATTTTTTTTTTCCAAATGGCATTGATTGTTGTGAAAACTGTTAAACAAAGAGGTATCAATGATAATATAGTAAAAACATACATTATCCTCAAAATATTTAATTTATGTGGACAAGAATAAGCCATACTTATAAAACCAGTTGGTTTTTAAAGTTTACATCTTTGACTTAAATGATTGTTTTTAAATGTGGGTGCAGATCATCCTGCACATGGCTGAGCCTCGTTTATTCCAAAGCTTTTATTAATATTTCCTGACTCATTCAGATGGAATCAGTTGTTAGTTTTAAAACCTCATTGTGTTTTCCTCAGGGTGACTGCTCTTTTATTTTCTCCAGGATTATTATGTCAGCTTCAGTCCAATTAAGTTCAAAAGGTATTTGTTGAAATAGCACAGACAAAAAAATGGAATTGAGTCAAATTTACTCCCAAAAATATGAAATTTAAATTCTTTAGACATTAAACTCTTCGATTTTAATGAAAGCAAATGAGTGAAACACCATATTTTTCTAATTTCCTTCAAGCTTATTTTGAATTGTGCAGCTGTGATGTAAAGAACAGGCAGCTTCCACAGAATGATTACTTTATTTTTCAGAGGAGCAACACTATCAAGTGATGTATGCTATGAAGGTGTAACACTATCCTGATCATCAATTTCTGAGTGCAGTAGTACCTCGCTACTTCGCAGTTCGTTTTTCGCGGTTTTTCAAAATAAGAAAGGACATGACACACAGTTGGCTGATTGATGGATGAGGCGCTCGATCAGCATGGAATTTTTATTTAAAATAAATTATTTAAAATTATTTAGCACCTGCTGCACCTGTGTGCAGTCCACAGCTGCAGAAGAAGCTTCCTGCTGCAGCGGAGAAGTGGGTGTGGCCGAGAGCGCTGGCAGGGAGCTAAAATCATGACATCCTGTGCTCCTTTAGAGCATTTAGAGTTTAGGAACATTGCTTAGAATATTTCAAGTGTGGGAAGGGTTTAAAATGCCTTATATATAGTATATTTATAGTAAATTAAACTGCTACTTACTACTTGTACCAACATTCCTACTTTGCGATGTTTCACTTATCGTAGGGCTTTGGGGTACGGATCTCCTGCGATAAACGAGGGACTACTGAATATAAATTTAGTTTGGAATTAGTATTTTAGAATTTACGTTGGTTCTACGCATATTTTCTTCCATTGGCACAAACGACACAAAACTTTACAAAAAACAGTTGATAAACTTTTAAAATTTGTAAAGTATTGTCGCAAAGTTTTGTTTCAGAACTCCACTGTGTTCCTGTGTTCCCCCCTGTTCGCTTCGGTTCCAGGAATTTCACTAATCCGCCCAAATTTCCTCGCTGGGAATGCAGTTTTATGTATACAGCTGCTTTCAACGGTAACTGAGGCACGGTTTTTAACCTCAACCTAAACTCCGCCTTGCCTGTGCCGAGGTAAGTAGTTATTCAGCATGGTGCGTCCAATATCCATGGTGTTTGCTCCCTCGCTAACGATGATGCAGTCCTGTGGCAGCAACTCTGAAATGTGGTGAAACACTGTGTAGTAGTTCATGGGCAATGTGGCTTTAAGAGAAAGTGCCTAAAAGGAAAAACAAGAACGGTTTAAACATGAATCCAGGATTCATCATATGAGCTGCTTATTTACATATTTTCAAATAAATACCAGATCATATGAATATCTGTAGTAAAATATTCCAGTTTTCTTATACATAAAGGTAATTAAACCCACTTGTGATATTTTTGCATTAGCAGTCATTTTCTCCTTCAGTGAGGTCCACCACTCTGTATTAGAGGGATATTTCCAGCCGTCTTTGCAGACACACATCCTGAGCTGAAGGAAAGAAAAAAAAAAAGGGGCTTTAAAAATAATCCACACACAAAGTGAATCTTTGAACAAATTGATGGCACACCTGAGAAATAACAGCACCGATGTCCCCCAGGAGAGCAACAGCCGGCCTCACGTTGTTGCCCATCTCCTCAGCACAGAGGTCAACCTGCAAAAAGAGAATAACTGTTCGTGATCTGCAGGTCTACAGATGTCCTTCTGTAATAAACTCAGAGACAGGACACATTAATTGTACTGCTGCAACAAAAAGGTTTAGATCAATGTTGGAATTTAGACACATTTTCACACCAGGTATTAGATGTATCCATTTTCAGACTGCTACACACCTGGATGATCTTTACGCTGGCATTAAATCTGGGCGGCAGACCAAAATGCAGAATCCAGTTCAGTCTGGCTCCAAGCAAAAGCACGACGTCAGCCTGGAGGAGAGCTCTTCACAACAGCAAGAAAATTTATAGATGGTTTAGACCTTTTTGGTAGTAAATTAAAACTGCAAAAATCATTTTTCCCCCCCTTTATATAATTGCCACTGAGTTTGAAAACTTTCTTTTGGCTCTGTCAGAGTGAAGCAGAAATATTGCGTAGGCCATAGAGAGCGCTTTGCTGCACCTCAGAGGACAAGTCAATCATCAGAATGCAGCAGAACACAGGTGCAGCTTTTCTTTCCTCACCTTCAATACATATTAAAATTAAAAAATGACCTTATAGACATCTTTCAGGTTATTTTCATATTGCAAAGAAAAACATACCAGTAACTACTTTCCATGAGGTCTATATGTGAAGTCACAATTGTTTCTTTGGCAAGTTGTTATGGTAAAAATAACACCATCCATCCATCCATCCATCCATTTTCTTTACCCGCTTATTCCATTTTGGGTCACGGGGGTCGCTGGTGCCCATGTCCAGCAATCACTGTGCGAGGGGCGGGGTACACCCTGGACGGGTCGCAAGTCCATCACAGGGCCACATAGAGACAAACGAGACAAACAAACATTCACTCTCTCATTCACACCTAGGGACAATTTAGAGTTACCAATCAGCCTAACATGCATGTTTTTGGTCTGTGGGAGGAAACCGGAGTACCCAGAGAAAACCCACGCATGCACGGAGAGAACATGCAAACTCCACCCAAAAAGGCCCCTTGACCGGGGTTTGAACCAGGGACCTGCTCGCTGAGAGGCATAAAAATAACACCCACTATCTTATTGAATCCACAAAGTTTTTCAGCGGTGAATAAATGAAAGACTTGATTGTTGTTAGCTCTTATGTAAAAAAAAACTAGTTTAAAAAATTGACAACGGCCAACAGTTATATTTTGCTATTGCATTTTACAGTTTTTGCCTAAAAACATAATAAAACTATTGAAAAAATCTGTATGTCTAATATGATCAAACTTGTTAGTATTTTTTATTTTGTTTGAGTTAATGTTGATCCTAAATGTTCACTTCTTTAACTTATTTTAAAAGTGTGGCTGACCTTGAGCGGGCAGCAGCGACACAGTGGGGGTGATCGTCAGGTATGACTCCTTTCCCCATAGGGGTGGGGAGGAATGGCAGACCGCTCATCTCCACAAACTCCCTCAGCACAGCCTCCGCTCTGCCATAGGCTGCTCCTGTTGAACACAACAACCCTCCTGTTGTTGTTCTGTCATATCAAATGTATTCACCAGTGGTGATGGGAAACTGATCCTTTTAGCTTGACTGGTGTAATCATTAAAAAAAAAAGACCCTGCGTTACCTTTGCCAACGATGACTAAAGGTGCCTTGGCTGCTTTTAAGACAGAGACAGCCTCACTGACTGCAGTGTGGTCAGCCAAACTCACTGGAGGAGGAGGACAGCAGGACACGTCTCTGCAGGAGAAAAATCATTTCTCAGTGTGTTTTACATCTAGAAAACCTGGAGCTGAAAGAATTAATAATATAACTTGAGAAAAACCACAAACCTCACTTTGCTCCTCTCCACTTTAGCGTTTACCATATCCCCTGCAATGTCAACATAGACTGCACCTGGACGCCCATAAATGCTAGTGCGGACTGCCTGCGAGTAGCCAAACACCACACACCTTCACTCACCACTGTTAATATCATACATCAATACGAATGGAAATCTCTTGAAGACATAACTAAATCAGGATAAAAGCGGATAGCATGATGACCTTCTCTATGACGGAGGGGATGGCTTCCAGACTGCTTGGCCTGGCAGAAAACTTGCTGTACAGGCGGCATGCCTCCACCTGCAGACAAATAAAATCAGAGCCGGAGCATTGAAGCCTCGTCTGGCAGACATTGACAAGAAGTTATGGATCACCTGAGGAAACTCCTGAAAGGCTCCTGCTGTTTCCTGGTTTCGGTCTGAGGACCCTCCTATAACAATCACAGGCCTGTGCAGTAAACACATTCACATTATAAACACAATCACTGCAGCTGTGGCATGCAACTAGGTGAAAGGTTTGAGGAATACCAGCAGTTCATGTTGGCATTAGCCATCCCACCCAAAGCATGAATGAGTCCAGGTCCAGACACCACCAGGCATGCTCCTGGTCTGGGTTCAGAGAACCAGCAGGAGACAGCAACGTGAAGTTAAAGAACCACAGCAGCTGATCATAGTATTCTCTGCTCTGAAGAACTCACCTCCCTGTTATGTATCCAATGGCAGATGCTGCATAACACGCCTGTTGGTGACAGGTTCATTTGTTAGAAATAAACATTACATTGTAATGGTTTTAGCCACAGACTGTGGGCTTGGTGGGAAACACAAATGCAGTGATTCACCGCCTGCTCGTTGCGCATTCCTACGTATCTGATCCCAGCAGCTTGAGCAGCCATGGCTACTTCAATGACAGGAACACCAACTATCCCGAACATGTACTCCACTTTCTGCACACACAAGGAGATTCGTTTTGATCAAAGTGACGCTGAGGTTAAATTAAAAGGTTTTAAAGAGGAGTGAAAGAGTTTACTGACAGATCAACCCTTGAACTTTGACCTAACATGATGCATGATGTTAATTTGCGACCTTACCTGAGTTTTCAGAGACTCAGCGATCAGCTGAGCTCCAGTCACTTCGTCCATGACTGCTCTGTAAAGACTGCTAACCTCAAATTACTGCAAGACTGTCACAGAGAGTTGTTAATGCTCGTTATTAATGAGCCTGCACAGTACAGAAAACTTTACCTCTGTAAAACACACCCCCTTCTGTTGACTTCCGGATTATGAACCAATCGCGTTAAACGCTGGATGTGACCTCATACAGACGTCTTAAAGAGAAACACACAGATTTAACAATGTACATTTTTGATAAGCTTTATACATTCTTAAAATTTCAACAAATGTTTTCAAATCCTGAATAGAACCAAAACCATCGTATTTTTCCAACCTTGTTTTGTTCAGTAAATAGTCTTTCTACTTTGCAGTTTAATTTACATTTGAATTCAAAAATGAGCGGCAAAATGTATTACCATATTTTTCGGACTATAAGTTCCACTTTTTTCCAGTTTGGCCAGTCGTGCGACTTATAGTCCAAAGCAACTTACCATATCTGTTTTTTTCCCCTTATTCATGATGCCATTTTTTACTGACACGTTAAATGTTCATTCATACTGACATGAACCAAAGAGTAAACATTACTAATTGCATCCACGAAAGGGCCCTCTAGGCTTTTGACAACTATATGTTGTTCCTTTACCGTTAAAAGTTAACACAAGTAAAATGCCCCCAAAAGCGATGTGGAATGAGTTTCGTAAATTTACCAGTAACTTCCTTGTCGGACTCGTTGGCTTATGTTAATTAAGCTTGTTCAGGATCCCAGGTATGTTCTGCGTGTTATTTCAGATTAAATGTCTGTTCTTGCACTTTGTGAAATCCACGTCTAAATAAATGTGACATATAGTTTTTTCCTCTTCATGAGGCATTTTTTGACAGATGTGACCTATACTCCAGAGCGACTTATGGTCCGGAAAATATGGTAATCAGTTTGAATTTCAATAAATGTTTAAAGCAGTGTGAAAAAAAATATTTACGAAACATACTCATCATAAGTAGTATTTATTTAACTATTTGATTAATCTAAAAGGTCAGACTAAACCTTTTATCTTAGGTAATGCATTTACAACAAAAGGCACAATAAATAAATAAGCTCAAAACCATTATTAAATAGTTTATTTCTCTTAAAATATACAGCAATCTCAGTACTGAAAGAACTCAAAGAAATTTTGAATTCACAGTCATAATTTCTATTTACATGCTAGTTTCATTCTTCTTCAAGAAAATGTTAGGAAAAGAAAAAAAATATTTTTCATTCTGTTGAATCTAGCCTATGTACAGAGCTCCAGTTATTTTTATTTTTTTCCAGACAAAACTGGGTGTTTTTAAATCATGAAACAATCAAGTGGCTTCCTTTTTTGTTTATTTTCTTTTTTAGCTTAAAGCAAGCAAACTAATACAGCAAAAATATAATTTGAAGGAAAATCAAATCGTGTCCTGTCAGTGGTTTACAGTGCTTCTCCTTTCAGAGCTGAGGATTGACGTCTCAGTACATGTACTTTATTATTTACTTAATGTGCACTTTCACAGCTGCCTCTACAAACTCACGTTTTCTCAGTAACAATTAAAGGCACAAAATCAACAAATCAGAAGCAACCAAAAACAATAGAAATAATTTATTCGTTAAAGACTAAACTGGAACAAACTGGTAACTGTACAAAGGTAGGCTTGCTCAACGTATTAATAAACTGGTGCATGTATCAAAGGTTTTGAAATGAGATCAGCAAATTGATTTCTAGAGTTTTAAGACATTAAAACTGGTATATTAAAATTTTGATCGAAAAAATAAATGATTTCCTCCCTGCATGACTTACAAATTGATGCACATGTGCAGTCTGATAAATGTAGTGTGCAGATAATATTCAATGAAAACTTGTTTTTCTTGCAAACCAATAACCCCCTGAAAATATCCCAGTCTCAAGTCACTTAACTCCGTTAAAACCAAGATAAAAATGCATCCATGTTGTTTTGGTCCCTGCTGGTTTAACTCTGTGGGGTTCGATCGCACCTCTTCAGCATGTTATTGCTGCAGAACAGTTGCTGTCTGCTCAACAAATTCAGTTTTCCACACTGGATAAGTCAGCGTCGATAAAGCAGTGGTTACTGATGACCAGCACCTGCTAAAGGACGCCCACTGCTGGATGAAGTCGAGATGAGTGTGGGACAGCTTGCTGCACCTCCTCCCCCTCCTTGCTCTCTCGTGGTAGTGGGGAATCTTAAGGCTCCTCTGGGGGCTTTCTTCTTTCTTTGCGCACCCAAGCTTGCGGCGCGTGATTTTTAAGACACAGTGCATGTGTTTGTGCATTCCTCCCGTCTTCCCGTCCTTCAGTACGTCTCTGAATCAGAGTCATTGAGCTCCTCGTCTTTGTAGTAGCCGTCGTGATGGCTGATGTTGTTGAAGCTGCAGTAGGAACTGTGCTCTCCGCGTAGTGAAGGCATGCTGTCGAAGGTGACGCTCTTAGAGGGGCTGGCGGTATAGTGGTTAATGGCACTGAAAGGGACAGTGGGGGTTTGGGTGCAGGGGGACACAGGCATCATGGTGGCCAGAATGAGGGCGAGGCAGTCGGCAACGTCTTTGTTGGGGGCACAAGCCAAGGCGGGTGTGTAACCTGAAGAGCACGAAAAGATTGCACACTTTAAGGTTTTAGGATTGATGCTGAACATGTTCAGTGTCAAAGGCAATCATTTAACGCTCGAAAAGATGAAAGGAAGACCCAACTTTTGTAAACAGCTCTTATGTTAAGCTCCTCTCAACTTACAAAAATAAAATAAATAAATAAATAATTACAATAAACTAACTGTCATTTAAAAAATTGTGCTTCTATATTCTTAGAAAACCTGCTGCCATTGACAGATTAATTTAACTCCTAATCCTCATGCCATTCATCCATTATCTTTTACCCGCTTATTCCTTTTCGGGTCACAAGGGTCACTGGTGCCCATCTCCAGCAGTCACTATGTGAGAAGCGGGGGACACCCTGGACAGGTCTCCAGTCCATCACAGGGACACACAGAGACAAACGAGACAAACAACCATTCACTCTCTTACTCACCTAGAGACAATTTAGAGTTACCAATCAGCCTAACATGCATGTTTTTAGTCTGTGGGAGGAAACTGGAGTACCAGGAGAAAACCCACGCATACACGGAGAGAACAAGCAAACTCCACCCAGAAAAGACCCGCGGGCCGAGACTTGAGCCAGGGCGACCTTCTCGCTGAGAGGTGCCACCCCTAATCCTCATGCATTTTTATAAAAATGTTCATTCGTACTCATCTGCTCAAACAGACTCATGTTCGTTGCTGTTAGACATATTGTTTTTTGTACTACTAGTGCTTAGTGTATTTTTAGTTTAACGTTTTTCTTAGTTCATATCTTAGATCTTATTACTGTTTTTCTTTATAATTTATACTTTTGTTGGATGTAACCGAGACCGTGTACACAATTTCGTTTCACCACATGTATGACAAATAAAGACATTTTGACTTAAAAATATAAAATTGTCTTCTATTTTGTTTTCCTCCCATTATTTAGTTCTATTTTTCTTCTTGAGAAGTGATTCTTTAATGCCGGTATTGACAGCTCCAGATCTGCACACCTCTGCTCAGCGTTGCTATGTTGACTTGCTGTCTAAACTTCTTGTGACATGGCTGCTCTTCCTGCCTCCCCCCTAAGCCTGAAGTTTCTTGCTGTTCAATAGAAGCTTTTTTTCCTTTCTGGCCAAACAATGTAATTTTCTGATACATTCTGAGCACAAACATGCAGAAAATGCTCCAGTCTATTTACCATTCTCATCGACTGCAAGGACACTGGCTCCCTTTGCGAGCAGCTCTTGCACCACCACAATCAAGCCATTTCTTGCAGCTACGTGCAGAGGCCTAAAAGGAAACAAAGTTTAGATAACTTGTTTGGTGTTTTTGACTTTTTAAAATTGCCCCCCTCAAAAAAAAAAAAAAAAAAAAAAAAAAATTAAAACAAAAACTTAAATCAATGTTAAAACAAAGTTGAAAAACTAATGTGACACTTACGTCTGTAAGGCTGCATTTGTAGCATTAATGAGGTTTCTGTCTGTAATCTTCTCCAATATCAACAAGGCACTGGTTTCATGTCCCTGTAGGAAACACATGCAGTGTAATAGGAATTAAAAAAAGACACATACAGTAACTTAAGCCATGCATTAGATCCACACGTAACGCAAGCTGCTGTATACAGTAATGGCTTAACAGCGCCATCATAGGGTACCACGAACCTTACTGCAGGCCAAATGAAGTGCAGTGTTCTTCAACGCATCTTGTAAAGTGAGATCTGCTTTAGCGCTGCTCACCAGCAGCTCTATGTCAGAATGAAAGAATCATATCCAGGAAAACAAATTCAAGTTAACTTCATATTACACTGTTTATTAATGCAACACTGCCCTGATTATTAAGGCTGATGAAAAGTACGGAGGTGTTCATACCAACGGCATTGGTTTGGCCATTCTCTGCAGCCATCATGAGCGGGGTTTTCCCTGCAGCATTGACACAATTGACCTGAGCATTGTGGCTCAGCAGCAGCTGGAGACACTCCACATGGTCAGTGAAAGCTGCAGCATGAAGAGGGGTCCTACACACACACACACACACACACAAAAAAAAAAACAACTATAATTGGCAAAAGGCAAAAACATACCGTATTTTTCGCCATACAAGTCGCACCTTTTTGTATAAATTTGCAAGTCCTGCGACTTATACACCGAAGCGACTTATTTATGTTTTTTCCACCCATATTTATAACCCTATTTTTGGCTGAGATCTGACGATTTCACTCATTCTGACATGGAAAATATTAAACATTTCCATTTTCAGACGCTAGATGGCCCTCGAGCAATATGGCAAGACAAGCGTCTCATTAATAAGTAAAAATGGCTATTAATGAGACATTTGGCTTGCCGTACCAAGCCACCTTCGTCTCGCTCCGGAACTCCTGGAGCAAACATCAAATCAGCTGCATTTCGCCGCACAGACGAAATTCAGCCGATTTGACCATTAAAGTGCATTTATTAAGGAAAAGTTCAACTGAGACACACCTTTGTCGCACAAACAAATAACTGTTTTTAGGTGGTTATCTTGTTAAATTCTTGTTGAAGTCCTCTCGTGCATGCTCCTGCGGCCAGTTTTTGGCACAACACCGGCTCATGTTTCCGGGTGGTCAGCGGCGATGCATAATAGATGCAGAATAGATGTGACTTACATGAAACGCAACTTATTTACTTTTTTTCCCACTTTATTAGACATTTTTGGACTGATGCAACTTATACAGCGGTGCAACGTGTACGGTAGCAAGTACGGTAGGTATTGAAAACCTAAACCTTAAAATTACTAAGATCCCAGAATGAGATGTACTTATTAAGGCTGATAAAATTGCTACTGGGCCTCTACAACTGTACATACCTATTTTTGCTGTCTTTGGCGTTAACAATGACAGGGCCTAACGTGTCTATCAACATTTCAGCTGCACCTTCGTTGTCACGGATTCTAAGAAGAGGAAGGGGGGGGAAAAAAAAAAGCTTAAGTGTGTAATCAATTGGACCCTGGACTCTTTGGTCCATTGATTGAAACAAAAGACAGCTCAGGATCTTACACAGCACAGTGGAGAGGGCTGAAAGGATTGCCTTCTGCCTTGTGAAAAATCTCTTGTTCCAGCAAAACCTCCACACACGTATCATGACCTGTGGGAAGGAAAGCATTAACTAAATCAGATTATAAAAAAAAAAAAAAAAAAAAAAAAAGCCACTATCAGCAATAAAAATAAAAATCAACCAGAACATGAAACAAAAAAGCGCTCGTCCACTTTAAATCTACTTATTCTAAAGTGCTCCACTACTCATTTGATGCATTTTACAGCATAACTTATTTAACAGAATGCATCTATAAAACATCAGAAAATATTTCCGTCTATGTATTGATTGTTTTGTGCAGACGCTGTACCATTGTAGCAGGCCCAGTGCAGTGGCGTGTAGCCGTGGCTGTCTGTTAAGGTAGTGAGTGTTTCCACCGACTGGGCGGCGTTCAAAAGGCCTCCGAGTACCCCGATGTGTCCGCATGCTGCTGCCAGGTGAATCGGCGTGCGACCTTTACAGTCCCGCACCATGAAGTTGGCGCTGTGCTGAAGCAAGGCCTCCACACACTCTTCATGCCCGGTCACTGCCTGCCAACAAAACACGTTACTGATGGTGTTTGAAAACAAGTTTTTACATCCCTCAGCAAACTGCATGTGTCAGTAAACTTGGAAATATTTCAACAAGCTACAAATCTAACAAAATGTGGACAGAGAGACACTTTCTCATGATTAACTGTGCGAAAGGTCTTAAAATCTTTGTGGCAACCTCACACAAACAGAGATAAAATGTAATCCACGTTCTATAATATTCAGCTCCAAAACATTTTGGCTCGAGTTTTTTCAAATGGATTTCAGTGGAATTGTTTAAAGATGTCTGAATTCACTGAAGTTGAGATTTGTCTCTTTTATCTCTTAAATTTTGTGACTATCCACACACACACAAAAAAACAACAACTACAATTTACAGGAAAGTCTTATTTCATAAATTTTTTACGAAAATTATTGCCACACACCTCAAAGCACATTGTTATAATCTATGTTTCATTTATTCTTCTATGGAAACCATGTCTACAAATTCACAAGAAAACGTCACCTTCAGTGTCCTCCGAACCTTCCAGCAGCACTTAGTTCTTGTTTAACAAACATCAATTAATGCCATTTTCATATATCTTATCACAATTCTGAATTCAACAAGACAAGACAGTTTTAAAAGACAACTTCAGTAAAATATACATCAACTGTTAATAAGTTTTGAGCATGGTCATTCAAAACTAAACTTAATTAATGTTTCTTACACTTTCTTAATAAATTATAATGGGAATGTCTCTAAAAAGAGCAAATCTTTAAAATAATAGGGATACAAATTACATAATGTATTTATAAAATAAATCCCATGGCGGGGGATTTTGGTAAGCAGGGTGCTCGGTTCTGTTGACAGGGCGGGGCACTCTCCTTGGATAATGGTAGGGCTAACACTGATTATTATATATGTAACAAAACAAAACTGTCTCGACTATATTTAAAAAATTGGAAAGGTTTAGATTAATAAAATATTTTTGAAAACTTATTTTATTTTTAGAAATCCATATAATTTAGCAGAAATATCAGTGTGTCAGCATATACAACTTTTTGGCAATACTAAAAGTAATTTGTACGCAACAATGTTAATATCTGCTTACTCCTCTATGCAAAGCAGTCCTGCCCCACTTGTCTTTGGCTTCAACGCTGGCTCCTTTATTAAGGAGAGAATACACACAATCTGTGTGACCACTCAGGACTGACAGCATCAGAGGGGTTCTAAAAATACAAGATAAACATAATATAAGAATTTATATAAAAACAACAACAACAAAAAAAAACATATGTTTACTTACTGTCCATTTCCATCTTGAATGTCTACTGCACTCTGAAGATCAGCATTTCCAATCAACAACCGTAAACATTCTGAATGACCATTTGTGGCTGCAGGAAAGGTTAAAATATATTAGAGTTCACAATTATACATGCAATCAAGTTCAGGTTTTGTACAACTCAATATATACCTGCAGCGTGTATTGGGGTTCGTTTCAAAGTAAAATCCTTCACCAAGATAGAGGCTCCCTGGTTGATTAGGACATCCACACACTCAACGTGGCCCTTGAAGGCAGCCAAGTCGAGGGGTGTACGCCCTTGGCTGTTTCTAACATCCAAATCCAGCAAAGACTGAACCAGAACCTCCATGGCTTGATGGTGGCCATGATACGCCTAGAAAAACAAATCCAGTGTGACTAAGATAAAATAGAACTGATCACACTGATATAACTACATATAATTTCACCAGTAAAGAAATAGTTTACTTCATTTTTGTAGCTTCAGCCATTTTAACATTAAAACAAGTAATGAAACTTGAAAAACTGGTTCCAATAAGAGACAGAATCAGGGCAAAACCTAGCTGAACTTGTGGCATGTAAAGATGTGTGATACCCCACAGAAAAAACAAAAACAACAACAACAAAAATAGGACCTGACTAAAGTGTGACTTTGCAATCAAAATCTGTTGGTTTGTTTCGTTGGTTTGTTTCTGGTTTTGTAGCTTCCTAACTAATATAGTTTAATGAAGCAAGTTTGCTATTGGTAAAAATGTAGCAACAAAGTCTAAAAACAAGTATACACTTTACTCACAGCTAGGTGCAGGGGGCTGACAGGAGCTCGGACATCCGAGTCATTCAGGATATCTGTCCCTGAGGTTTCCATTAGCTGAACACATTAGAAACATAAGTTAGAAGCAACTTTTGAGATGATTTTTTCCACTTATTCTTGAAGCTCAGCACTATAAATGAACACTATTATGGTCAAATTCTAATTTCATATTTTTTAAACACTGATTAGAAAAAAGACACTTACCACATCTAAGGGTGTCTCACTTGCAATCTGTCAAAGCATGAATCAAAAATGAATGACCTACATAAAAGCATGTCAGTTTTGTGTTTTTATGAGTGTATATTGCTCACCAGCTCTAGGCAAAGGCGGTGTCCATACGCTGAGGCGTAGTGCACAGCGTTGTAGCCCTGATTGTCCCGAATCGCTGGATTCGCATCATTTCTCAGTAAATATTCCAGGCACCTGCAAACACAACACAGAGACTGTAGTTAAAAGAATTGTGGTTCCTAACCCTGAACAGATGCTCTGAATTATTGATAACGCAAGTGAGCTCATAAAATCTGCCTCTCGTGCAAAAACTAGTCACTAAAAATGCTCTGAAACGTTCAAGTATTACTTACTTTCCATCTGTGTCGGAGGCAGCGGCGTAGTGCAGAGGAGTGCAGCCCCGCTCGTCCAGGTCATTGACCCCGGCCCCCGAACCCACCAGAGCAAACAGGCATTGGTAATTACAATTGGCAGCAGCGTAGTGCAAAGGAGTCCTGGAAAAAAACAAGCACGGCTTTAGTTCCTAGTTTAAATGTGCCTCTTGATCCAAATCCATCTGTAAATACAACAAACCTGCCAAAGCTGTCCTTTCTGTTAAAGTCTGCCCCCGTGTTGAGAAGAAGATTGAGACATTCCAGGTTTCTAGGGTAGACAGTTAGTTACAAAATGATTTTTTAAGTTTCTTTAAGCATATACTCAATTAGTTCCAAACATAATGTACAGCTAGCCTGTACTCACCCCCCAGCAGCTGCAGCATGTAAACAAGTCCTTCCAAAGTCATCAGGTGTATCGATATCAAAGCCTAAACAGAGTGATAAATTACCAACAAGCTCTCAAACTGATACTTTACAGAATTTAACACTGGAACATCAAAAATGTCAAGAATGTTAACTTTATAAAATTAAAATTCATGCTCACCTGAAGACAGGAGTTTACGACAGCAGTCTGAGAAGCCGCTGAGTGCAGCCAAATGCAGCGGGAACATGCCGTGAATCCCTCGTCTGGTAAAAAGACACTCATATTAGCTGTAACATAAACTGCTTTTACTTGAGACAGACTTGGCTATTCACTCACATTACAGAGCAGAAGATCGCTTGTGTGACATGCTTTTTCATTTTGAACTCTCAATACCCAGAATAAAAATCCTCAAACTTTGCAAGTTAAGCTAGAAAATTTGCAGGAAAAACAGCAGTCAGGTGTCCTTACTTAGCGGTGTCAGCTTTGTTGGTGATGAGCGTGTTAATGAGGAGCTCGTGTCCATATCGAGCTGCAATGTGTAGTGGAGTGTTCCCGTTTTTATCTTCACAGTCAATTTCGGCACCTTCAAGTGAATGAGTAAAAAGAAAAACAAACAAATAAAAAACAATAAAGCATTTAGCTCCATGCTTTACTTTCCCAGTGCAATAACACAAATCAAATGAACGACTGAAGCAGATTTTCTTGAAAAGCTCACCATTTTCAATGATTGCTTGAGACCTAGAAAACCTTCCATGGATCGCAGTCATATGAAGAGGGGTCTTACCATCTTTACTCTAAGATCAAACAAAAACATACTGAAATCACAAGTTGTATGTTTTTTCTACTACAACTAAAGGGCCCTGCATATTCCATCTGAAGCTGTGAAAACGACTCATTGTCGTAGTTTCGTTGTGCCTTTTTTCCCCTCATGGTACCTTCGCCCACCCCTTCTTTACTGACACAAGGCCTGGACCGAACTTTTTCTCACAGGGTCAAGTATTGTGTGATTGATCAGAAGTTTGTGGACATGACTCTCTAAGGTACACAAAGGTAGTCAACTGACCAAAAACTCCTGGATGGAGATTGTGCAGACATTATGAACAAAGGAGTTTTTGTCACACAAACAAGTTTGAACACTGACTTGCTCCGAAAAAAAACATTTGGTAACTGAATAACACAGACAACGATTACAACATGCACATGTTTTTCTCCAATAACTAATATTCCAAAAATGTGAGTAAACGTTCTGGTTCTACTGACCTTTATGTTGACATCAGCCCCATTGCACACCAGGAGCTCCAGACAGAGCGCTCCATGGCGTGAAGCAGCGGTGAAATGGAGTGGTGCGAAGCCCTTCTCGTTCACCTGGTTGACATTAGCTCCACAGTCAATGAGTTCGTTCACAACCACATCCTGCCCGTTGTAGCAGGCCACATGTAGAGGTGTGTTGCCATATGCATTGGGCTCATTGATCTGAACAGCAAAATGATAGAGAACTTTTTTTTTTAATCAAAACAAACCGGTACAAATATAAAATGACACAATTCAGTCATAATAAAAAAATATCATGCATGAGAAGTCTGTAGGTGGAACTTACATCCACTCCTAAATCCAGGAGGTATTTGACAACACTAATCATTCCACTAGAGGCTGCCGCATGTAGGGGGGTGTAAGATTTCTTATCCTTGCAGGCCACTTCAGCCCCATGAGAAGCCAACAACTTCACCACCTCGATGTGTCCTGAATGCACACAAATTAAATACATTAGCAAGAGTCTTTGTTCACCTACTCACATCAGAATGTGAATCCTTATTTAATACATTTAAAAAAAAAGAATCAAGTATTTTCAAACTTCTGAAAAGGTCTTACAACTACAAAGACACTTCCAGAATATTATTAATATTATGTTTCTTTTTACCCATGTAGGCTGCCCAGTGGATTGCACGGCGATCCTTCTTGTCAAAAGCATTAATGTTGGCTCCCCTGGAGAGCAAGAGCCTCACCATCTAAGAGGAGGAAGACAACAAAAAAAAGAGCTTAATTTAACTATCAGACGATGTTGAAACCAAAATACTATCAATTCTTTGTTTCACATTCTAGATATTCAATGTGTACCTGCTTAAATTAGAAGTAATGGACCTCTCACTTCTAAGCTGCTAACAAGACCATGCCGCTAACAGAACAGAACCATGATGCTGAAAGAACCTCACTGCTAACCGAATCACACTGTAGATGCATTTCTTTTTCCAACTTTGGCGCCTTATTTTTTAGTATTTTAGTGGTATTTTTTAATGTTTTTTTAATATGTTATTAGTATTTTTAACATGTTTTTTAGTATGTTAGTAGTATTTTTTAGTACGTTTTTAGTATTTTTGCTGCATGATTTGATATTTCTTGTTTTCTTTTTTTTTGGTGAGTTGAGACAGTTCTTCTCGTGCTAAGCATTTCATTGCATTGTTGACCTTGTGTTGATTTTGCACATGACAAATAAACCTAACCTAAGACTAATGTAAATAAATCTAAACAACACTCAAAAAACTTTTTTTTTCCACCTGTACTAAGATTAGATTAATAAAACTGTGTGACCTTTTCCACTCAGTACAAATATGCCAATTGTTGCTACAAATATATTAGCAGAAAGCAGTAAACTGTAATGCATCAGATACGCTGTGAAAGTTTTAGTCACCAAGTTACCAAGGTCACACCTAATATTCTCAATAGTTTATATTTGTTGTAATTCTTGGAAATAAAACCATAATTGAAAATGGTCTCGGACCATCACCTTTTATATAAACCCAAGATGTTTGCAGTCTTTCAATCACCTATTTGCAATTGAGTACATGACTACAGTGAATCATTTGCTTGGAAGAACATGACTGGACAAGAACATCAGTACAAATTCCTAGAGTACAAGTCCAACAGTGTTAGTCTGTGGCTTAAAATACATACTTTTTAATTTTATTGTAATATATTGGTTTTTTTTTTTTTTAACTATCTTTTAGTTTGTTGTACTGTTTTGTAAGACTAGACTGGGTTTGTGTAACACCTACACAAAAGACTGATTAATAACACTACACTAAAATCTACATCACAAAAATAACATGAGCTCAGGGTCAGAATACCGGTAGTTACCGGTATTTTTCTATCTACAATATTATAGAAATTTGCCACAGTACGTCCCACCGTAGTTAGATCTAATTTATATATATATATATATATATATATATATATATAATAATGTTCCTGTCTTTAGTATTTTACATCGATTTATAATGTAGCTGTTTTTGCTTTGTTTTTTAATATCATTTTCTCTCATTTGTTCTTCTCTGTCTGTATGCTTGCTATTATGATTGTCTATTGTTGTCATCATTCTTTGTTAAATTCAGGTCTCTCTTGTAAAGGAGTCCTCGGGGCTCAATGAGACTAACCTGTATAAATAAAGGTTGAATGAATTAATTAATTTGTGGGCAAAAATGTATTTAAAAAGAGACATTATTTATCACTCATTTATATTACATGCAGCACAAACACACTAAAAGCAAACGGAAAGACGGACGATATTATGAAATGATAAGAGCCAATGAGCTACTCATTACTTGTCTAATTGATGCATTATGTGTATAAGCCTAAAATGAATAATTTGCTGTGGCTATTATGTGTGTGTTGTTTGTGGCTACTCTGATGCAGCTGCTAAGAGCAGATAAGCAGATCCATGAGAGATTATTAAATTGTTTCATTTCAAATTTGGACAAAATATAACTGTTGTTCCCTCTTGTTATTTATTGCACACTGTAAATGGCTCATTGCGTTTACATATTTTATTCTGCGAGCAGAAGCACTTTGAGTGTATGGAGGGGATGAGGAAGTAATGACAACAGCCAAGCATACAAGTGTATAAAATCAAGACTGATCTGACAGATTGGAATTAAAAGTTGTATTTATGTACACGTAGAAAAGAGAATAACCCTGTTAGCAGCACTTCAATACTAAACAGTCTGTGCATCTGATTAGAATGATAAAGCTCTGGCATTTTTTATTAATTACAGCACAAATAGTCAATACTTAGACATTAAAGCACCTCTTGTGTACAGCTTAGAGCTCAATGAGACTTTAGGTTTAATATTACCTCCAGGTGACCGCTGAAGGCTGCATGATGCAGTGCAGTGCGGCCTGCTCGGTCCGATACATTCACATTGCTAAGAAGAGGAACGAGGGCTTCGGCACAGCGAACTGCCTTATTGGCTGCTGCGATGTGAAGGGGAGTCTGCCAGTTCTTGTCTCTAGCATTTACATCTGAGGAGTGTTTCAGTAACACCTGGACAGCCTCCTGTAAGAAAACATAAGGCAAGTGTTTACGTTCAACGTTGTTATTATGTAAAATGGGACCGACTCAGAACCAGATGAGCATTTGCCTACCTCACTGCAGGAAGCCACAGCCCGGTGCAGGGGAGTCAGCCACTTGCTATCTTTGGCATTTACTCTTGCGCCTACAAAAGTCAGAAGGACATAGACCATTAAACAGTTCGATATCCTAAAAGTAACATAATTTCACACCATCTGGCAACATATGCATTCAGTTGACTTCCTCGTTTTGAATGCATTATTTTAATTAAACGTTTGCATTCGTCAGTGAACACTACCATTCGTTAAGAACCAAAAGCAGAATCCCCATAATTAGCAAAGTAATAGAAATTGTGAATGATCTGGTAAATTAAGTTGATTTTCAAAAGTTTAAAAGGAATGCAAACAACATAAAGAGCTGCATATATGCTGAGCTATAATGACAAGTTACAGCCATTTCTGGCATATTTTCAACATTACGCAGGTGTAAACAAGCTTATAAGACAGATGATACATCACAGCCGATTAGAAACCATACCTGATAGAATCAACAGCTCTATAATTTCTGCATCTCCAAGATAGGCAGCAGCATGCAGAGGAGTCCGCTTCTCGTTGTCCTGTAATAAGCGAGTAAAGACACTGATGTGATTATTATGGAACAGAACAGCTCAGCTTGTTTTCTTTCCCTACTTTGGCTGGGCTGGATCCAACATTAAAAGTCAATATTTTTATTGTTCCCATTATACAGTAATGATAATGCAAGTGACTATGAAAAAATAATAATAATCAGCTTTGCTTTACAGCACAAAGTGGGTTAAACCCACAGTCAGAAAAACATTCCAGTGAAACACAAACAAGTGTAAACCAGCCATATTTTGAAACAAGCACCCCCACCAGAACAGTAATGGTGAGGAATGCAATAAAATAAGCGCAGTCAGGTTGTGCGGTAGGGACAGTTAAAAAAAGAAAATAAAAAACACGAGCCAATTTTTATTCAATATTTGTATGTACATGCTGCACGAGTGCTTTCAAGGACAGTTACAGCACACGTGAGAGATTTTATATTCAGTTTTCTAGCAATGTTATGAAACTAACAATATGAGGAAACAGATGCAGATGCCAAAAACAGCTGGAATTACCTGTGCATTCACATCCTCTTTTTTGAATATGAGCGAACGTACTTCATCTGGGTCCACATTGAAAATGGCTTTCAGCAAAGGAGGCTGAAACAGAAGAATGTAATAATATTAATAAGAAGAATAAAATTCAAAACTTTGACATGACATGTAACAATATGTTTAAATGGCAATCTTCATTTTGCATCATTATAAAGGAGGATTTTAATTGCAAATCTTATTTGATCGGAAATTAATTACTTTCAATAAATTAGTAAAATGTGGTGTAAAAAAGGCAGAGTTGTGATTATATAGCAATATGAGATTTGGTTGTACAGATGGTTAAATGTACATTGCAACAAAATGATTATTACTCTACATTTCACTGTCGAAACAGCTGCGTCACAATTTCTACCACTGCAGAGATTAACTTAAAAAAAAAACTTGTAAAAAACAAACAAACAACAAAAACCACCATCTTTATGTTTTAAATGTGCTGCTCATCTTCATTTTGCCTCCAAATTATTATTATTTTTCTAAGCCTAGTAGTTCTGATGATGATTGTATAAAAAATAAAAACAGAAAAAGGCATGCAGCCGATCTGGGGCCAAACATCTATCATGATCACAAGATAAAAAATAAAATAAGATAAATAAATAAGAACATTTTTATGTTTTTTAATGAATGAAGTGGAGGACCGTAATGCTGTCCTCAACATGGGCTGTGCAAAATAAAAACATCATAATATAAATATGTGAATTTCATTCTAATTTTTCAAACGTACATAACTATATTGTAAAATTATTAAAATCAGTCAAAAGTAGGTGTGTTTTTAAAACAAGAAAACTGAAACCATATAAAAGTTTTACTATTTATGTGAGGTCACTCAGAAGTTTTTGACCAACACTTCCTGTAAGACAAGACTGTCTTTACCTCTTGAGTAAAAACCAAAAGCAAAGCAAACTTTGACAAAGCAGGATGATCCTGTTTGCTCAAAGAAAACATACATCATCTTACAAAACCCATTATCTCTCTTACTTAATTTCATTTTCAATAGCAGAAAATATATTAAACCTTAATACGTGAGAAGAAACAAAAAAAGCTGATCAAATTTGTATTTGAACAGTCTATCGCTGTGCAAACATGAGCTAACTCTTCTCTGAAAGTCAGAACAATGCAGCATGTCGAGTTACATTAATTCACTTAGACTTGTTCCCTCATTTAACCTACCAGGCTGCCCAGCCAGTCAATTACCTAATGTGCAGCCATGCAGTTTGGAAGACTTGGTGGATAAACTACTTCTGCTATGTAATAAGCTGAGTCACATAATTTTAAAATGAAGTCTGACAGGGCTAGCTAAACGTTAAACTCTGTCTGCACTACTTCTAAATATGCATCGGTGGCTCAAAAGCCACAAGCATTAACCTTCATTTTACAAGGCAAATCCCATTGAGATCACGGATCTCTTTTGCAAGGGAGGACTGGGCCTGAAGCCTGAAGGCAGCCTAACATACATGTTTGTGGACTATAAACAAATCCAAAAACAAAGTATAAACCTTAGTAAAAGGACTTAAAGTTAGTTTCATCTATAGCTGCTAAACAGGTTGTGCTGAAAGTAGAAAACTAAGTAAGGCAGAAATGCATGGTATATATATTAAAAGAAAAATGCACAAACACAAAGTGGCTTATTTTTAAATTTGATTAAAAATGATCATTGCCATGCAGGGACCAAATAACATGCAGCTGCATTTTAAACACAAAACAGTCCTCTTACTTAGATATTATGAATCTCACTAATGCCCGCAGGGTACTACAAAGGGTAGAGTGGCTGCTGATGAATTCAGAGTAACAAGCAGGCAATTGTGCTGCTCCCTCTAATGATTTTTGTGTTGCCGGCACGATGAAAAAGAAAAAGACAGAATCTGCATTTAGTTCTTTTCAGTTCCCCAGCCATGGATGTGCAGTGGCGGACATTTTTCATGCTCTTGTCTAGCTACTGGACTGTGCACCTCCTCTACACATAGAAGCCAGGCTACTTAATACCATCACCATGGAGACAGCTCTTTGGCAACTTCACCAGCTCTCAGGAGCCCCGGCACACAATCATTCAAGCACGCAGAAAATAAAAGACACATGCGCACACATATATGTGACAAGAATAGCACGCATGAGCAAAACAAGCCATCGGAGCTGCAACAGAGGGCTATTCTCATTTTCACAAGTAGGTGTCAGGTGTTAAATATAGCAAAAAAAGGACAAGTCTACTTCCTTCAGTCATCTCATTGAAATTACAATTATTACACAGTGATGGCTGCATATTTAACCTTCACATAATTAAACTTTAAACTGAAAAACACTTATTGCAAAGCTTTTGTAGATATTTAAACTATTTACATGTAAACAAGCGACAGTCTTGTGGCAGCCTGGGACACATCTTATGCACTACTACAACTATTTAAAATAATACATGTAAAAATCACTAAACTGGCACTAGATCCCAACTCTTCCATGATCATCTAATCATAACTTCTGGTTATTTTCTGGTCTAATTTAGGGTAACATTTAGTTTATAAAAGTGTAATCTAAAAAAAAAGAAAAAGAAGAAGCTAATTTTACTACTTTAGTGTCCTCCACTGTTTTAGGCAACACAAACTACTCCAGCTTTGCGTTACCATAGTGTAAATATTTCACAAGTACAGTTGACACATCAACAGATCGCTTTGACTCACTGTTATGACAATAATCACACGTCATTAGATATTTACTGACCGTGTTTACCTTTACAGAGATCACTCAAGTCTGGTCAAGTGTCGTTTTGTTATAATATCTTAACAAGTTGCTTCGTAATTGTGTAGCCAGTAGCGTTTAAAGGTTGGCTCTGGCTAATTGCTGGTGATAAACATCATGAATTAGCTGGTTTGAACTTAATAACCGCATGAAATTCTATGACGAAATACCAGCGTTTCAAATTTAATTCACCAGGCTGCCGTTGAATTCCATTTAAATTAATTCGTGCTTGTTATTTTATTTATTCTAGCTTCAGGAAATGCATTAAAACATGCTTCCGTTTCAGACACCAGCAACACAGGCTCGAATTACATTCTGTTGTTAAGCTAGGCTAACGTGAGCCAGCCCACATTCTAACTTATACCAATGTTTTCCGAACTAAAAATCACTCACCTGGTCTCGAATTTTGAGAACCACCATATTTTGGGGGGGTTAACTGCTCTCATCCAGATTCATAAAGCGGGATTGGTCACTTCCCAAACAGCACTGTTTGATCTTGTCTGCTGGAGGCCTGACGAGCACTTCGGCTAGCTTCCTATGCTGGCACGAGAGCAGCGGAAACTCCATAACATTACCGCCACCACATTTCACCTCTAAAAGAAACGTAATGCGATTGACTGAGCCTGCGCAAAGTTTCAGTATGCGGCTCTCTGATTGGTTGTTACTAACGGCACTGTGTGACGTATGCTCTATGTTGAACTGTGCATTTTCTTTATGTTGCTACTTATTGAATTATTAACCGTCTTAGGCTCTTTGAAAAATATGAAATTAATTCATAGTACAATGTACCCATAAATATGCACTTCAACTAATTATTTATTGCTTTGTTTACTTCATTGAGTCGTATTAACACCGCATTTTTATTTTACTCAATGTGATTCATGCTGAACGTGCACCTGCAAAAAAACACAAACAAATTGAAATGCTATATTTTACTGGATTGTACTCAGATATGCAATTAAAATAATCAAAACAAGTCCAATGTTATAAATCTCGTGGAAGAAACGTGCAGGCAAAGAAAGCTGCCCAAATTAACAAATCAATCAATGATTTAAATGGCGTCAAATATGATGAAATTTTGCCCTCTAGTGACTTATTCCTCAATTACAAGTAAGTTTTGAAAGGTGCATGCGTACAGTCCTGTATATCTGCTCCCTAGTCGATCATTTATATAGATGCATTTGAAAAACAAAATTCTGATGATTATTTGTAATTCACTGGATCACAATGCACCCTACATGTTTTATGCAATTTTTAAACTGTAGAATGTTGTATATACAATAATACACATTCTCACAAAACAGCCTATGCATTTAATAACTGGGTGTCTTGTCAGTGCTTGGGCCAATACTCTTTACTTTATATATGCTTCCATTAGGTAAAGTTATTAAACAGCATGGGATACATTTTCATTGTTATGCTGATGACTCACAGTTATATTTGTCCATTAAACCCAATGAATCCAATCAGCTACTTACAAGCATGTCTTAAAGACATAAAAACCTGGATGACTCTTAATTTTCTCCTGTTGAACACAGACAAGACTGAGGTTTTGGGTTTTGGACCTGAGCACCTTAGGAATTATTTTTTTCAGTCTTTCTCCCTCTTTAGATGGCATTGATCTGTCCTCCAGCTCTAATGTTAAAAATCTTGGTGTTATTTTTGATCAGGACATGTCTTTTATCCCCCACATTAAAAACGGTACTAGAACCGTCTTCTTCCACCTGTGTAATATCACTAAAATTAGAAACATCTTATCTAAAAATGATGCAGAAAAACTGGTCCATGCATTTGTCACGTCTAGACTAGACTATTGCAATGGTTTATTATCTGGATGTCCAAATACTTCCTTAAAGCATCTTCAGTTGATCCAAAATGCTGCTGCCAGAGTCTTAACTGGAGGATTTAGCAAAAAGGAAAGTCTTACGCCTAGTTTTAAAACTGGATAATGTGTCAGCCTCTGACAGAGATTGGAAGTTGGTTCCACAAGAGAGGATCCTGATAACTAAAAGATCTGCCTCCCATTATGTTTTTGTAAATTCTAGGAACCACGAGTAAACCTGCAGTCTGAGAGCAAAGTGCTCTGTTGTGAAAATATGGAACAATAAGATGTGTAATATAAGATGGAGCTAGGTTGTTGAGAGCTTTGTAGGTTAGAAGTAAGATTTTGAATTCTATTCTGGATTTGACAGGGAGCCAATGGAGAGAAACTAAAACTGGAGAAATATGATCTCTCCTACTAACTATAGATAGAGAACTTTACTAATTGGCTTTTATGTATGTGAATGTTTCTGTAAAGTGCCCTAAGACAACTTTGTTGTGATTTGGCCCTATATAAATAAACTGAATTGAATTAATCATGAGTATTTGAACAATCTGTGGAATGCTGCAGTCACAACAGCTGATTATCAGAGACAGCAATTTCCTCTGTTCAGTGAAAACACCACAGAAAGGACTGGCAGGAATGATACTGTAGTAGCAGGCCAAAAGGCTTTGCCTTTAGTTGGACACAGAACTGTTTGTTTTGAGCAGCCTCTGTAAATCAGGAGTTTAGTCACAGCCACATGCCTGCTACAATTTAAGATTTGAAATAGCTTAAATTAAGGTAATCTGTCACTTGTAGTATTCAATGTAGTGTAAATTATTATCACAAAAGTAAGATCAAAGTTTTGTTCTATGACACTAACAAGTTTACACCACTGTTAGACCTATGACTATTAATTATAAAGCTTTTGAATTTCCTTAACATGTAAACATAACAGTTCAGTTATAGTAGCTGCAGGATTTAAAGTTATTACTCTGGAATCCATGCTCCGCCTATCTGAAAAGAAGGTGCAAAGATAAATGTTCTAAGCGATAACCATAGTATGCCAGGCAATGAAGTTCAGTGATTAATAGCAGGGCTCTATGGCAGCTATGTGGATCATGTTGGTTACACACTGGTCACCTTTGCTAGATGTAATCCTCCTGAATCTGTTACTAAGCCCTACAAAGGCCCAAGTAACCCCAGCAGAAATACTTTCCCACCAGGGTGGCTGTGACGGAACAGGGTTCCCACAAATTAAATTAGGAAAGGAAGAAACAGTGGAGTAAAGGCATAAATGAAGAAAACAGATGCTTACATGCATACCTTGCCTTTTCCCACCCCACTTTAAAACTGCACTCTGACCTGGTGTTTTTACCGCTCTTGTGTTACTGGGCTTTGTGTGGGCAAAATAAAATAAAGATTTAAAAAAAGTAGATGTACATCCAATGAATATTTTTGAAAAATAAAACAAAAATCTATTCAGTGGTTCATATTTGCTAACAAACAGTGTTGACTCCAAAAAGTATTAGAAAAGTAAAAAAAAAAAAGATTTCGTGCAACCGGTTGGGAATGATGCTCAGCCACTAACACAACCAAACCATGCCAAAATTTGTATAACTGATTGAGTTACAGTCATTTTTGTGTTTTAAAGGTTTTTTGCAGCAGCCATCTTGAATTGGGTTGACTCTAAATGTTAATCAGTTGTAGATCAAATGATTTCGTTCTGCAACTTTCATTTAAATTTATGATTCATATTCTGACAAAAGGCAAAGACATGATCATATGCACACAAACACATATGCATGTATGTTTTAGGGCTGAAAAGTTCAGAGCTTTCTTATTGGTGTGAACATCCTGAGAAAGGACATGGTCCTTAGTGTGCAGATAACAGCTGTAAAGTCCTGAACAGCCACACAGATGTATATAAAGGATAGTGTCACAGATGTGCTGATGTTTGGCTGTGCCCTCTCTGCTCAGATGTCAGGATGAGAGATAGCACACAGCTGGACTGTCCGGATCCCAGGATGAAAGTGGTGTCACCAACTGGGTCGGTCCCAGCTGCTGTGGGACGGTGGCGGGAGGGGAAGAATTTCATCTTTCTGTTTCCCACCACTGTCCTGAAGGGTCGGTGCAGAGCCAGAAGTCGCATTATTAACAAGGTTCTGTCATGCTATGTCTCCGAAAGACGTATAAAAAATTCTGTGTTGAAGAACATTTACCGAAATAATTCAAACATACAGTATTTGTTGAAATGTAACACACAAAAAAAGTTTGTGCCTTTTGTAAAAGGCCAGGCACTTGAGTCTAACAGTAAACCGAGCGAGGAACTGAAGAATGCTTTGAAGTGACAAATAAAAATGTGAGTCCATAGACAGCTGTAGATTTATGACAAAGGCAAATCTGCATTTAATCTTTGCTGATGACAGGATCAGGCAAGCATTTCCTGTTTTGGGGCAGAAGCTGTATCTTATTTTTTTCAAAATTTTCACCAGTGGAGTCATGCAAAACAACTAAAGTGGAAAGTAAAGATAAATCTTTGGTGATTCTTTGAACTTTTGGAGTTAGAAAACCAGTCAGTCATTGTTTTTCATGAAAAGTGGCACTATACACATAATTAATCCACAACCCCCCCCCCCCCCTTTTTTTGTATCTAGTTATACTGTATGTCATTTACCGGTTTATTTTAACTTGGGTACTGACATTCTACCAGGTCTTTCTAGTTGTTGAAAACAAGCAGTTCGACCAGCAGATGACACTGTTTCATATTTTATTGTGCTTCAAGGCCTCGTGGTACTACTGGTGCTTCACTGCAGCTGTAAGGACCTTCACATTTAGAATTTCAGATTATGCAACAAGAAGACAATATCACTTTATGAGTTTTTTTGGTAATTGTATGAATGCTGATTCAGTTGTTTTCCTGTGTTGTTTTTACATTTTCTGTTGATTTTCTTTTCTTTTCAAAAATTGTATTGTTTTAGCCATTCAAACATTCAGCTCATGTTTAAGGGATAGGTGCCATGACTTTAGGTTTTTGTGTAGCACTTGCGATTTTCAAAATACAAAATATTATATACAAATATTTTCAGCACATTTTTGTCTTCCTTTGCTATGTTTAGTTTTTACCAATCACCCTGCTACTTTTACCTTTTTCCTATTTTTAGCTTTTAGCTAGTGTTTGATCTTTTTGCTCCCTTTAGCTAGTTTTAGCTTTTGCCACTTTTGCCTTTTAGCTTGAATTTAGCTTCTTTTATTTCTTTTTAGCTATAGTGTTATGCTTTTATAGCTTTTTAACTTATGTTTGACTTGTATAGCTTTTGAAGCTAGTGGCTTTTCAGCTACTGTTTAGCTTCTCTTAGCATTTTAATAAAGCATTTAGTTTTGCTCGTTTCAGCAAGTGTTTGACTTATTTAAGATTTTAGCTACTGCTTTGCCTCTTAGCTTTTCAGCTAATTTTTTGTTCCTTTTACTTTTTTATTAGCGTTTTGCTTCATTTAAGTTTTAGCTAGTGCCCTGATTCTTTTAGCTTTAACAATTCAGTTTCAGATTCTTCAGTAAATTTCAGCAAAGCCATTTACTACTCAGCATTTGCAAATGCAGTTATTCCAATTAGGCAAATATTCTTGTCCATTTTTCTAATCTTAAGGAAACTTAACATCATGGAAATCAGTGTTGTAGGTTATTATGATACAATTCTAAGTTAAGGCCTACAGGATTGTGAAACCTAAGTGATAGAACACCTG